CTCCTAAACAAGCACCCCTATCTTCCAGCAACAGGATCTTCCAGGAAGGGGAGGTCAATTATTAAACTACACACAACCTGGCTCCCCCTTAAGGGAATGCAAGTGTATTACACTGTCCACTATTCTTTTTGGAAACAGATGGCGGGAACCAAGGAAAATGCACTGCATTCAAATCCTTGACTGGAATGGGCAGCCCCATAGCACCACAATTTTCATAGCCCATACTGACAATTAGCTCCACAGACACTGAAGCATTCATTGCAGCCCATAGATATCCCTGCTTGGAAAATGGCTGACGAGGAATGTTACTGGGTGTTGTAACACAACTTCAGTTGCCAAGATTCTCAGGCCGAGATTAACCACTGAGAGACAACCTGGGCAATGAAAGTCCATCCTTGTCATTCTGAGTTTAGTTGGATTGTGTAGCATCACACATTCCCGAATATTCCCAAGCCTTGTGTGTTTGTGTGTGTGTGTCTGTGTATATGAAAAATAAATAAATATAAAATCAATATATATAAAATCAACCTTTGAGAAGAAAGAGTAGGACCCTTACAAAACAGAAGATGTAACTGCTGTCACCCGAGGCTTGGGTCAAAACCAACGATCATAACCAAGACAAAGATAGGGAGCAAAGTTCACCAAGACAAAGAAGAATAGGGACCAGAGTTCAAAGCCAAAGGCTTACCTTGGAATTCAAATCCAGTCAACTTGCTACTTTATAAGGATGAATCAAAGATGCCAGCATGACCCCCCAAATCCTCACATTTGCACTACTAATTGTGCCTGGCAACAGCTGATGAGAAAGTCTGAAAGAGGCAGCACCCCCTGCAATGACACAGAGGGGGAAAAAAGATCTGGAGAGTAGAGAAGCACAGAGAGGAAAAGGAAGGAAAAGGATGCTGAAGCAGCACATGCTCCCAGACAGAGAACTTTCAGGTTTATTTCTTTTATTCTGGTTCAAGATACTTCACTTTATTTCTCTAAATATGGGTAATGCAAGTATTTGAGTAAGAAAATAAGGACAGTGGGGATAGGGGGAGGGAAATCCAGTTAACAAAATACCCTTAAAGCTTTAAAAAAAAAAAAAGTACAAAAATGATCATTTGACAAAGAAGCCATTCCATCCCTAACTCCACCGTCTTTGTTTTTGTTTTGTTTTTTTCTTTCAGAATCAAAATCATTTATTTTGTATTGTTTGTTATGAAAAACCGCTGAAAATGTTACAAAATATTTTCCTTAGAGGAAAGAGCTCAATACATCAAGATCCTCCATGAGCTGTATTGCGGATTCACTACCAGGATCTCACCATTCTACAAAGAAGTAATCATTGATGTCAAGAGAGGGGTTCGGCAGGGTGATACCATTTCACCGAAACTCTTCAGTGCCACCCTCGAGAACATCATGCAACGACTGGAATGGGAAGGAATGGGAGTGAAGATAGATGGTCGGCAACTACACCACCTCCGCTTTGCTGATGACATCGTTCTAATAACACCAAACATCAGCCAAGCGGCACAAATGCTGGCCGACTTTGACTGTGAGTGTGGAAAGGTAGGACGACAGATGAATCTTACGAAGACAATGTTTATGAGAAACAGCCTTGTTCCTGATGCCCCATTCACTCTCAATGGAACGACCATCTCCGAATGCAACAGCTATGTGTACCTAGGTCGAGAAGTCAACATGACAAATGACCTGGCACCCGAGCTGCGCAGGAGGAAGAGAGGGGCTTGGAACGCCTTCAAGAACGTCGAAGAATTAGCTAAGAGGACGAAGAACCTCCGGCTCCGGGCACATCTCTTTGATTCCACTGTTCTTCCTGCATTAGCATATGCCTCAGAGACCTGGGCCCTAAGCAAACAGGATGAGAACGCTATTGGGTCTCCCAAAGAGGAATTGAAAGAGCTATGCTTGGAATATCACGTCTCACTCAAATGAGAGAAAGAATCCGGAGTTCCGACATCCGTCGACGATCAAGAATCAGGGACGCTGTCTCGTTTGTCAAGGTGTCAAAAATCAGATGGGCTGGTCACGTAATGAGATTTAAAGACGACTGCTGGACTAGAGCTGTTACCGACTGGATCCCACGGGATGTCAAAAGACCGCGTGGCCGCCCACCTACCAGATGGTCAGACTTCTTCATCAAGACCATGAACGATCAGTTTGAGGCTCTTCATGTTCCCAAAGCGAACAGATGCCATTGGGCTACACTGGCACGCGACAGGGATGAATGGAGATGTTACTGGCACCCGCTTGAGCAAATCCACGACTAACGGAAAGTTAAGTGATTAAGTTAAGTGATTAAGAGGAAAGAGTGTGAAGATTGTTGTATTTTACCCAGGGGCCATTACACCCTTCTATAAGAGATCACTAACATATTGTTAAAGGTTGAGCCTTGTGTGCGTGTGTGTGTGTGTGTGTGTGTGTGTGTGTGTATTTCCCTCTAAGATTGGTTGCCTTCTACTTTAAACTCCATCAAATGTGGTGCAATGCTCTTGTAGTATGGGTGGCGTGCAGTATGAGTTTTCACACGGCCACAAATGCAGCTGCGTGGTCCAGGAATAGGTTCACTCATGGGTGATGCTAGGCCTGAGCATGTGGAGAGCCACTGTGATCATGGCAGCGGTTGAATGCTGCAGGTTTTCGGCTGCTGGGGAGGGGTCTCACCCGTCCCCCTCCAGGGCACCCTGAGTGAAACAGCCTGGTGCAAGGGTCTGGCAGTATGGTTATGGCATGTGTCCTCCACCACCTTTGATCTTGCCCTCTAATAAAAATTTCTACAGCATGAAAAGGGTTTTAAATATACTGTCTCATAGAAAGATTGCATTCATCTGGGGAACATAAAGTAACAAAATAGGAGACTAACACTCAAGAGTGGCCGAGATTAGTACCAGGAAGTTTGCTCCATGGCTTGGAGGCCAGCCACACATGCTAGGGGAAAAGGGAGCTCAGATAGAGAAGGGGGCACCAAATAAGGGGTGTTGGGAGGATCCTCCCAGGATGGGAGAAGCATGCTGAAAGTAGACTAGAGACCAAACATGATTGCCACTCAATGCCTCTTTTGCAAACCACAACACACCAAAGGAGAGAGAGAACAAAAGGGAACGCCCTACCACAGAGGCAGGGTGCGGTGGGGGTGGGTGGGAGGGATACTGGGATCTGTGGTGGTGAGAAATGGGCACTGGTGGAGGGATAGGTATTTGATCATTGTATAATTGAAACCCAAGCACAAAAATTTGTAAGTCTACAACTGTACCTCATGGTGTTTCACTAATAAAAATTAAATAAACAAATAAATAAATAAATATACTGTCTCATTCAGTCCCACAGACAGCTTGATGAGGTAGATATAAGATTTCCAAAGCAACCCTAGAGACTGCAAGATCACAGTCAGCCTAGCGAGGAGCAAAACTTTCAATTCCAGTCCCATGTTTACTCTCGATCCTATACTTACTCTATCCTCGACACATTTAGAAGAGGCACTTGCTGCACAACACAGACTTCAAGTTCTCCATGAGATCACAAGCCCTTGCTATTTTAAACAATGATCTTTAGAAGGAATCACTGTGTTCATTTATAACAACAAAAATACAACTGTCCTCCCGTTGTTCATCGATCTGCTCGAGCGGGCCCAGTAACGTCTCCATTGGAGACTTTTGTTGTTATTGTGTTAGCAGTCACAATTATCCCTAATGCCTCAATTAGGCTACTCACCACAGATCAGTTGAAGATGAAAGGTCAACCAGGTTAGAGGTTAAACGGATAGACTTGTTTCATCTCCTGCTAAAATTATATACCAAGCACTAATTCAAAGTTATGCTAAGAATCACAAGGAAAGCCTTCTCTGATTTTTAGGCAACTAGCTCACCCTTGTGGACAGAAAACTTAACTTCACAACCACAAATTTCTTCCTCTTCCCCTCATCAAAATGCAACACTAAAATTGGGGAAACTCAAAAGGAGAATTGATGATTTAAGTTTAAGCAAATTTTTTGAGCAGATCTACAGAGCATGCACAATTAACCCATATAAACTGTATTAGTCATTCAGTAGCCTAAAATCTATCTGTAGAGTGGGACATTCCTGAAAGGACTAAAATCAAACACCAACAACATACTGTCATTTATAAGTGAGTTTCTGTGGTGCAGTAGAGGAAAATTTCTAAAAGATTATAGCAGCAATTGTTCCACCTGGTAGAAAACACCTAAATGCTGATTTATGTTATGAAGGTGTCATTCTAATTTACAGGCTTCAAGCATACTGTCCACTTAAAACAGGTGGTAATGAGAGAACCGTTAAGAAAGGGCTCTATGTGAAAAACATTAGGCTAAGTACTAAGGCTGATATAGTGTCTCCTATGGATCTGTTGAACACATACCCCCACCTCCCTAGCTTTCACTGGTAAAACTCAGGTCCACCTATAATCTGCAAGGGACAGTTACTCCTGCTTCCTCATAGAGCCACTTGTGAAAAAAATGGGGGGAAGGACATATAAGCCATTCAATAAACTGAATGAAAACTGAGTGTTTCTCACCATTATTAAAACCCAAGTGCATTTACCACAGAGGAATATTCACGTCTCAAACTCTATTCAAAAACTTCAAATGTCCTGGTGTACATGTCCTTAGATTGACTTCAAAATATTTTACTTTTTATTTTCCACTGTTTTGTTTTTGGCCACATCTGGCAGTGCTTAAGGCTTACTCCTGGCTCTTTGCTCAGAAATCACTCCTGGCAGTGTTCTGGGAACCATATGTGGTGCTGGGGATAGAACCCCAGTCAGTCGTATGCAAGTAAGTGCCCTGCCTGCTGGCCTCAGATAAGTCTTACTGTACTATCTCCCTGATCTAATTATTAAGAGGCATTTTCCAGTTGGGGTAAGATCCCATTTCCAAAACTAGCAAACTAAAATAGTATCTTTGTTCTGTGAGGCAATTACAACTGAATGCTTTGTAACATGGAAGACAGTAAACAAATGAGTGTGACTGAATTTCTTACCTATTGCATCGTGATTTTCTTGATTCTTTCCCAAAGAGGCTACCATTTTCGAATATATATCAGTCCACCATGGATTATACTTCAAAACCTGTTCAACCGCCTCATCTTCGAAAAAGTCAGCTCTGGTCGGGGAGTGGAAAAATGGAATGTTACCAAGATGTGCTGGTTCTCATTGTTGAAAATGTTATCGTAAGTCACCACATTTGCACTAAAAAGAGATTGTTAATTCAAAGCATACTTCAAGAAAAAACTGAGCACTACATTAACTTCCTTTGTGGATGACAATCACCAAAGGAAATGGAGGTAACACTGCACTAAGGGACATAGTTGATCCTTGAAATGCAAATTATGTGGAATACCTGCCCCAGATGCAGTCCATCCCATTCAGTCACAGAGGTAAGTGATGGAGAAGACCTGGAAACTTACAACCTAGCAAGTGTGTCAGCAAGCAGCTTGAATTTTGGTCTGGTTACAATAAAAGAAAGACACTTTAAACCCCACCAGCGAGAAAAACAGCAGTAAGAAATTCAGAGACAGTATATCTACCAAATGAGTAAGCACGCATATACAGTCTTTTCTTAGCATGTATACTCATTTTCTACCTGGGCGCACATTATTTAGCTAATTAATCTTAATTCCATTCTCTAAAAACAGAGAAAAAGATAAAAGCAGTCTTTTTGTAAGGATGAGACAGTTACTTCTCCTGCAGATTACTTTCTCAGTTTTAAACTGAAGAACAGGGACCTAGAGAAAGTACGATAGTTAGGGCACATGCATAGCATGTGTCTGACCCAGGTTCTATCACCTGTACCACATAGTTGAAGTCATTCCCCCAGCACCAAGCATCACCTGGGCACAGCCCTAAGAGGCCCCCAAATACCTCCAAGTGCAGTCCTGGAGGTTCCAAGCATTGCTGGGGTGGCTCAAGTAACCCCTGACACTATAAGGACCAGCACCACCACATCCTTAGGACCTGGCATTAACACACTGCTCAAGCTGACCAAGAAGCACTGGTGGGGCCCCTGAGCTCCTGAGAACTATAGTTGCTGGAGAGGGGTCTAATAAAAAAAAGTAACTACTACACTCAAATATACTTCTGGAGGACACTTATTCAGAAATTATGCTGAATTATGCTACTTGCACTTGAAGCTATAAATTGGTTTTGGGAGGGGGGAATGACAGAATGTATAACTTATGATGAAACACTCATTTATAGTTTAGTTAATAAGAACTTCAAGAAATTGTTTTGATAAATTGCACTTTCTAGCTGACATATTTTTAACCTTAAATACTTTTTTCTTTCAAGTGAAATATGGAAATCTCTTAAAACTTCTAAGGAACACAGATAACTTTCTGAGTTCTTCATATGTGACACAAGTACTGCCCTAAAGGCTCTTCATCAATTACTCGCAGAATCCTCCCTCCATAGGTAGAGGATACTATTAATACTACTATTATTTAACATGGATCGAAACTGAGAATCCAACAAGTTATTGGTCAGGGTGAAGGTCAAAGGAAAACAAAATGTAGCTAGGATTTGAATTCACTTAAGTCTTACTTGGTAATCCAAGATCCTTTTTGTTATGGCGATGCTCAGGAGTTACTCCTGGCTCTGATCTCAGGAATTACTTCAGGCTGTGTTCAGGGAACAATATGGGATGCCAAGGATTGAACCCAGGTCAGCCATGAGCAAGGCAAGCACCTACCTGCTATACTATCTCTCCAGCCTCCTGTAGCCCTAGATCTTAACCAAAAGAAACATTTCCATTTCATCTCGAGAAAATGCATTTTAAACATAGATGCATATATGGACATACTGGACAAGGTCAAATGGTAATCATCTTAATACAGTAACTCCCAATACCTTTATTTTTCAGCTGGATAAGGCCCAGGGGACTAGATCAAAGAGTTACATGATAAACTAAACATGCTAAGAGTCAATTTTCTGGCAATGCATCCCTTTCTCCTTGAAAAAAAGGGAAAATATTTTCAGTTGGGTTTCTACTATAAACTTTCATCCACAAAGTTTTTCTGGGAAATGAATTTCAAAAGGATAAGCAATAAGAGCTAAATGGCTAAGTGTTAGTAAGCTGATAAAAACCACTGACTCTGAGCCCTGATCCACACTCCCCAGCAGACACTGGGGTTACATTACAGGACATAGACAATGTGATCCTTATGACACCAACTCTCAAACAGAAACAAAGAACAGGTGCTATGTTGATGACACAAGAATCTGCACAAAATGAAGCTTGGGTGACAGGTAAGTTCTCCCCCCAAAAACAAATGCAATTTAACAGCTTTGAAGGATAACTAATATTAACCAGATTAAGAAAGGTGAGAGAATACTCTGAATGAAAGAACAGTTATTAAAGGGAAGAAAACAAGATGGTACATTTCAGTGAACAAAAAGCTAATAACTGACAACCATCTTGCAAGCCATATTTAAAAAAAATAAATCTAGAGTATTTTTATCCCTAACAACAGCTGAACTTTATAAACTTACGTTGAGGACACTGCATGTTTTAGAAACATCACTCTCACTACAGACTGAAAGCTACAAGGACAAACACATTCCAGGACAGAAAAATAGTAGAGAAAGGAAGACACTTGCCTTGTATGCACTGGTCCAGAGTTCAATCTCTGGTACTGAACAGTCTCCCAAGCACCACTAGGGGTCACTCCTGAGTGCAGAATGAGGAACATCCCCAGAAAACCACTGGGGACAGGGAGAGCTCAGTGGCTCAAAGGATGCCAAACAGGCTTTGCATGCAAGTGGCCTGAGTTTGATCCCTGGCAGTAGGTGGTCCCCTGAGCACCACCAAAAATTACCCATGAGCTGGGTCGGGAGACTTAACATTGTCAAAATGGCAATACTACCAAAAGCATTGTATAAATTCAATGCAATCCCTATAAGGATACCCATGACATTCTTCAAAGAAATGGAGCAAACACTCCTGAAATTTATATGGAACAATAAGCCCCCACGAATAGCTAAAGCAATTCTTGGGAAAAAGAAAATGGGAGGAATCAACCTCCCGAACTTCAAACTGTACTACAAAGCAGTAATAATTAAAACAGCATGGTACTGGAACAAAGGCAGAACTGCAGACCAATGGAACAGGGTTGAATACACTGACATCTTTCCTCAATCATATGCTCATCTAATCTTTGATAAAGGTGCAAGTAATGTGAAGTGGAGTAAGGAAAGCCTCTTTAATAAATTGTGTTGGCATCACTGGACGGCTACATGCAAAAAAATAGGCTCAGAACTCTGCCTAACACCATGTACAAAAGTAAGATCAAAATGGATTAAAGACCTCAACATCAGACCAGAAACCATAAGGTACATTGAAGATAAAATTGGCAAAACCCTCCATGACATTGAAGCTAATGGTATCTTCAAAGATGCCACGCCACTGGCCGAGCAAGTGAAAACAGAGATAGATAAATGGGACTATCTTAAACTAAGAAGCTTCTGCACCTCCAAAGAAACAGTGACCAAAATACAAAGACAGTCTACAGAATGGGAAAGGATATTCACCGAATACACATCTGACAAGGGGTTGATATCCAGGATATACAAAATACTGGTTAAACTCCACAAGAAGAAAACATCCAACCCCATCCAAAAATGGGGCAATGAAATGAACAGAAACTTTCTCAAAGAAGAAATCCGAATGGCAAAAAAGCACATGAGAAAATGCTCTACATCATTAATCATCAGGGAGATGCAGATCAAAACCACAATGAGATACCATCTCACACCTCAGAGACTAGCCCACATTCAAAAGAACAAAAGCAACTGATGCTGGCGTGGATGTGGCGAGAAAGGGACACTCCTTCACTGTTGGTGGGAATGTCCACTGGTTCAGCCCTTCTGGAAAACAGTATGGACGATTCTCAAAAAATTAGAAATTGAGCTCCCATTTGACCCAGCAATACCACTCCTGGGAATATATCCCAGAGAGGCAAAAATGTATAGTCGAAGTGACATCTGCACTTGTTTGTTCATTGCAGCACTCTTTACAATAGCCAGAAACTGGAAGAAACCTGAGTGCCCAAGAACAGATGACTGGTTAAAGAAACTTTGGTACATCTACACAATGGAGTACTATGTAGCTCTTAGAAAAGATGAAGTCATGAAATTTACATACAAGTGGTACAATATGGAAAGTATCATGCTAAGCGAAATGAGTCAGAAAGAGAGGGATAGACATAGAAAGATTGCATTCATCTGGGGGATATAAAGTAACAAAGTATGAGATTAATACCCAAGAATAGCTGAGATCAGCACCAGGAGGATTACTCCATAACTTAGAGGCCAGCCGGGTATCCTAGAGGAAAGGGCAGTTCTGATAGAGAAAGGAGCACCAAATAAAGGATGTTTGGAGGATCCTCCCAGGAGGGGAGATGCATGTCGAAAGTAGACTATGGACTGAACATGTTTGCCACTCAATGCCTCTTTTGCAGACCACAACACCCAAAAGGAGAGAGAGAACACAGGGGATTGCCCTGCCACAGAGACAGGGGGGATGGGGGGATGGGGGTGGGAGGGATATTATCCATGGTGGTGGAAAATGGGCACTGGTGGAGGGATGGGTATCTGATCATTGTATAATTGAAACCAAAACACAAAAAATTGTAAATCTACAACTTTAAAAAAAAATAAAATACAATAAAGGGAAAAAAAATAAAGTTAAAAAAAAAATTACCCATGAGCATAGAATTGGAAGTAACCCCTGAAGCATAAGGTGTGGCCAAAAATATTTTTTTAAATACCAAAAAATAGAGACACCTATAGGAAAAAGAATAATGGTAATTTAGAACAGGATAGTAGCAGAGGACACAGAGCAAAATGAACAGATCTAGATAGAAGCTAGAATCCTCAGGCTACAGGTGCGAAGGCTAAGGTCCTCAGTAAGGGAGTCTGGTTTCAGTAACTCAGCTGACCACAGTGCCACTTACTCAGACAGGGACTGAAAAGATCAGCAGACAGCACTGCTTGAGTTTGCCCCAGGTACGAGCAGAACTTGGTGACTCAGGACTTTGGGTTCAATGGGACCGGGAGCAGAGATCCTTTGCTGTTTTCCCCTATCTCCAGTGATCCAGAGGTCACGCC